TTATAATAACTATTATAAATCTCAACAATTATAATTATAATAATAAATAATTTGAAAAATATAAATCATAATTATAATAATAAATAATTATAATAATTATAATTAATTATAAATTTAAAAAATAATATTAATAATTATAAATTATATATGCTTATAATAATAATATTATAAGAAATAATAATTATAATGTGTAATGATAATTATAATTAAATATAATAATAATTATAAATTAATGTTAATTATAATAATTGAACTAAAAAATTATAATAACTATTATAAATCTCAACAATTATGATTATAATAATAATTAATAAAATTTATATATGAAAAGAAAAATGAATTATAATCTACTTTAATAGTTATTAGAATAATCATTACATTGGAAAAATCTAATAATTATATTTCTGATTCAGGGTGTTGGCAGACCTGGACAATCTAATGCCAAGGACGACGACGAGGCGTACGATGACTATTATGATGGTTCTGGCCGACACACTAGAAGTTGGGGTGTCAATGCGTCCGTTCGTCGGGAGAGGGACACGGAAAGGCAGGCGTTGATCGATGAGGCTCGTAGGGTACAGCTTCGTCAGGCTAGCCAGAGTTCCCGCCCCACCCCTCCGCACCAGTGCCCACTGGTCCATATCATTTTGAGGGCCAGCCAGATAGTTCGCGACCCCACGGAGCCCTCCCGTACGGCGAACATGGATTTTATTATCCTGGACGGAAAGGCAGGCGTTGATCGATGAGGCTCGTAGGGTACAGCTTCGTCAGGCCAGGCGAGCCAGAGTTCCCGCCCCCCCGCACCAGTGCCCACTGGTCCATATCATTTTGAGGGCCAGGTGCAGAGGACTATGACTCGAACCACTCTTCAGATGATCAGGACCACGCACAGCCTACGGGTCCTAACCACCCTCGTCCTCCTGTACAGCCAGTTCGTCCGGTACAGCCAGTTCGTCCGGTACGGCCGGTTCTACAGCATGTTCGTCCGGTACATGCTGTTCGTCCCACACAGCCTGCTCCTCAACGACAGGCTGGGGGGCGTTTTGGCCCATCTACATCCTCATCAGGTAAATAATTTACTTATTTATTGTTTTGTAATTATTTAGGGTAAGTTGAATAAATTGTAATTAATTATAAATTCAAAAAATAATATTAATAATTATAAGTTATATATGCTTATAATAATAACGTAAAATGTAAAATGTAACGTAACTAATGAAATATGTTTTATTAAATATATTTTATTTAATGCATCTGCCAGCAAGTCAATATATACAGATATGTTGTATTTTAATGCAGGTACTAGCAAACGAGCTAGGACCAATGATGATGCACCCTGGATCGTTAGAGGCCCAGTGCCCGGTGGGCCCATTGATGAGAGTGTCATCCCTAGCTTTCTTGGGCACGTCGCCTCCCGCATGTGGAGTGGGAATTTTTTGAGGGGGCCGCTGAAATGCCACAACAGACTGCGAGCGATCGAGAATCTGAAGGCTTGGCGTGAAGAGCTGTCTCCCGATGCTGGAGGTCTTCTCGACCAGACCGGGCTGTCACATTTGGTCGACTCCATGCACAACCACTTGGACACCCCACTCATTTCTGCTTTTGTGGAGCGATGGCAGCCGGATACTAACTCGTTTCACATGCCTTTTGGTGAGATGAGCATCATGCTGCACGACGTTCGGGCCATTTTAGGCGTTCCAGTGGAGGGAGTCGTGGTCGCTGAGGACCCGGATTCGAACGCCTGCCATGGGCTCTGCATGTCGATACTTTCAGTCACCAAGGGCGAACTCATGAGTTCGTTCTGGCAGCGTGGTTCGGTGTCCGAAGCCGCCATTTCGGGGGCATTCAGGGGGAAACGCCGGCCGGCTAGGGATGAGGCGGGTGCCTGGATGTGGGTGATGCTGGCTACCACTTTGTTCGTCGACAAGAGTGGTAGTAGAGTGACCCCCAAGCTCTTGCACGAGGTGCTCGACGGCTTGGATTTGATTGGGGGTTACTCATGGGGATCGGCTACGCTGGCATACATGTACAGACAGCTAGGTATTGCCAGCCGAGGGGACTCTGCCCAGATGTTGGGCTGCTTGACTCTTCTACAGTCTTGGATATATGAGTATTTCCCCGATTTCCGACCCCGAGGGCGTCTACCCATCGGTCCTGACTGTCTCGCACGATCACGCTCGTGGAGCGTAGGGAATGCGCCACGGTCAGACGATCGGCTCACAGCCATCCGTCGGCGCCTCGACAGACTCACTGCCTCCGATGTACGTGAAATTATTTTATTTAAATTTAATTACCCGTTATTTAAAATAACATAATTATTTTTATAAATGCTCTTATGCAATTGTGAACAGGTGCAATGGTTGCCATACGGCATCTCCAGCCCAGATGCGATAGAGCCGAGGACTCTTTATAGCGGATTGATTCGATACCGCGATGTCGTCGAGCCGTACTTGCCTGCGCGGTGTCTGCGTCAGCTGGGGTATGTCCAGACTGTACCTCCCCCTATATTTCTGCCAATCAGTGCAGTACGTGCTTGGGAGTCTAGGAACTACAAGGTTGAGCATTCTGAGGCTGGTGCAGTAGGTGCCTGGACCCAGTTCCCGATGTCTGGGACGGTCAACACCGGTATGTTGACCCACACCACACAGGATCGCGGGGAGGCGACTGAGGATTACCTGCAGTGGTACAGTCGGGTTTCCCATCCGACTCTCATGGGCGAGGAGCTGTCGGACGAGGACGAGGTCCCAACGCGTGTCAATACCGCCTATGTAAGTTGGTTACTAAATTTTAATTAATGTTAACTCATTACAAAATTTTTTTTTTAATAAATTTTAGTCTTATGTTTTTATTCTTCTATTTTTTTAGTGGGTGGACCGTCTTTTGGGCATTACATCGACCTTGCAGCAGATTGTTCCAGACTGTCCGGAGGCGGCGGAAGTCGAAGAACAGCTGGCTAAGTTTAAGTTGGATTACGACAATGCCCAATAATAATGTAATGAATGTTTTTTTTTTTTAATTATTATTGTAAAACATTAAGTTGAATGATTTTTTTTTTTTAATTTGCTAAACTTAAGTTGAATGAGAAGCGTCATACCATAACTGAATAATATCGTTCTTTTATTCAAGAACGATTTGTTTGAACAGTATACCACAATTGCAACCTAGACAGGTACTGATGCTCCCAACCCACAACCGATTGATCTCGGTAACGAAACCACATGTTATGAATAGGCGGTAATGGACAATCATCAGTCAAATCTAAACGAATGTAGTGTTCTACGGTACCAAGATGGCAAATGGCAATCTCACGACATGGTCCTCTAGCCGATGATCGTTGGTGCTGAATAAGTCGTGCTGCCCACCGTTTGGACCAGAGCTCAAATGAACGACATACACATTAAATAGGGTCGCAACGGCATAGAGGTCCTGCGGAACTTCGAACCAGTGAGTCGGTCCACAAGAGCCTCTGGCCCACCTTATGCGACGGAGTCCGGCCTCGATATCTCTAAAATAGATGTACTCGTACAATTCAGGGTGGCTGTCGATCTCCTTCGCAATGTTTTCTCTTGCATCTGGCCAGTACTTCTAATGACCATACATGTGACTCGCGATGACCCGAAATCCGCAGTTACCATCCGCATCCACATTCAGGTAACTCACTATGTAGTCCAACATATGCCAGGGGATACATTGCCAGAATGAAAATCCAAATATATTTGTCGGTCTAAACTCTGCAATAAATATCATAATAATTTCACGTCACAATTTATATAATCATATAAATACTTTAATTAACGCTCAGCCGTATTTTAAAAAAAAATGTATGACCTTCATCCCCTTGTGACTGTTGAGAAGACGAACTTGTCTGTCCACGCGAAGAATTGGTCGTACGGCTCGATTTTCGACCTCGCGATTTTTCGTTGTACTC